CAAGTTGGGGGGGGGGCACTGGTGGGAGGTGCTGGAGTAGCCCAGTGGTAAATGGATGAGAGCTGGGGCCATGGTCTGGCCAGTGCGGTGCAGAGGATCCTGGGATGGGAGGACAGAAGGATGCCACCTCTTTCTGGTGGTTAGCCACTGTCCTGCCCAATGACCTGGGCCAGTAAGAGCTCTTCCAGTCTGGGCACCTCTGCAGACTGTGTGCTCTCTCCAGGGAAAGCGGTCTGTCTTCCATTCTTCGAGGCTCTAGATGTTGGGCTTGTATGGCTTTACTTCAGTCTTGTCACCCATGTCTAGGACAGTTTCCTTGCCTATAAAATGAGGGGGTGGATCTGGGAGCCTCCTGACTTAAGGAGGAGCAGGAGGTGAGAGAGCATTTGATGTGCGGTTAAAACACCACACCCCTCCAAGAGGGAAGAGGAGACAGGAGAAAGCTGGAGAGGTTTCCAGACCCACATCATTAACAGAAGGTGGCAGGTCAGGGACTGGTGGGGGAGGCTTCTGGCCCAAAGCAGCCTTCTCCGGACCCCTTGACTGTGGTTGCAAGTGTTGCCTCCCCAGAGCCCCACTGATTCCCCATGTGGGAGAGCCTCTCTCTTGGGTCACGCCCTGGGCTCCCTTCTGGCTGTCCGGCCCATCCTGCTCTCTGGTGGGACTGTGAGCTCTGTGTCCAGGAAGTCGAGTGTCTAGCCTCTGGAATGTTCCGATCCATGGACCATCCCATCAGAGGCTGGTATTTCCCAAGGGAGCTTGGAGAACTAGACAAGAGGTGTGTGTGTCACTGTCCTTTGTATTCAAAGAGAGGACACTGCTAACACACCCTATCTTCACGAGGGGGCATGGCTGGGGGACAGACCTTGGTATTGGTGGAGTGCATTCCCACCTGTGGGGGCTGTGTGTGTTGTCCGCGCCTTCCACTCGGGACCTGGAAGACAGCGTCCAGGAGCATGCGTGATGTGTTTGCTGGCCACAGTGACTGTGAGGTGTTGCAGGCATTTGGGGCCCAGAGGCCAGGGGCACTGAACGCCCTGCATTGCTTGGGATGTCCTGCACAATGAAGACGCGTGCTGCCCAGATGTGCCCACAGTGCCCATGCAAACACCATGCCATTCTGTCCTACAGCCTGGCCACGCTCTGGCTCCTCCATTTTTCCAAAATGGATTTAGACACGTCTTGGGAGAGAGGACGTCTCTAGGAAGATGCGTGGGGCTCTGGGTGGTTGTGTGCACTCCTTTGCTGGACTGTCCTGGCTTCCTGGGTTCATGCCTCTCGTGTGCCAGACATTGCACCTTTAGGTTTGGCATGGGTGATGTGAAACCAGGTTCCAAAGGCAGCCAGCCTGTCCCCCGCTGGAGAGTCAGAGGGATACTGATGTCTCCACAGAACAAACGCTTACGTCATGTCCTGTCCCAAGGGCTTTACGAACATTAGTTCATTGAATTCTCCCAACATCCTTGAACATTGGGTACAGTTATAGTCATAGTTCTACAGACAGACTGAGGCACGTTGGGCTTAAGTAACTTGCCCAAGGCCATCCATGAGGCAGCTGGTATGGCCAAGGTGGTCTGACTCCACTGGGTCTTCCTCGCCGGGTCTCAGTCCAAGACATACACCTGGATTCCCCAGACGCCACTGCCACTTCAGTTGTGGAGGCTGTGGACTTTGGCCAGCTTTCAGGTCATCTGTGCAGGGAGGCTGTGCAGCTTGCCTCCTCTGGGCCTCAGAGGGTGACCCAAATCCCCTCACTGCACAGGAAGAAAATGGGGACTGGCCGAACAGAAGATTTCTTCTTTGTCAAAGTGACAGGAAAGGGCCATGGTGACAGAGAGTCAGTCACTGTACTCAGACAACCCACCAGTGGACAACAGCAGGGGTGGGGTTCGCAGGAATGGGTGATGCCACAGGGGTGTGGCTGATGGGAGGCCGAGAATGCATCCCAGGGGCGTCTCTGCCCCTACGGTGCAGCCAGCGCCCTTTCACTGTGGGCAGCCCACCCTCACCAAGACTTGGAGCGTGGAGCCCAGAGCCTGTCAGTGTAATCAGCATGAGCACATCTCGCTGGGCCGGGGCCAGGGGAGCATCTGGGCTTCTCAGGGTGTCTGAGATGACGTCCAGGCGTGTCATTTACTGAGAACAAGGGAGCTCCTGTTGCTTTTCCATTTAAGGCTCTTCGTCCAACGTATCATCCACCACCTCCTCCCTGGAGAGGGCGGAGGGCGTGGCTTTGACTGGCACAGTGGAGGCCCCTTGGTGTACATTGCATGTGCTGTGCAAGGGGCCCCTGCCACGTCCAACACTCAGGGCACTGCCGGCTCCTCATGCGCTGCCTCCCTGTCCCTCTACACCTCTCCCAACACCCATACGCCAGTGTCCTTTAGGAAGGTTGCTCTGACCCAGTTTGGGGAAGAATATTGCTCCTGCCTAAGTGCACAGCTGGGGCTGTGAGTGAAGGGACCGGCATGCCTGAGTCTTGGATGCCACTTCCCACCTGGTGGCTCCTGACATGCAAGCAATCTGAGAACTGGAAGCAGAGGTGGTTTCTGCTTCCTACAACTCCCCACAGAGATGAAAGGGGTCCTGGCTGAGGGCCGGCCCCTCTGCAGCCTTGTGTGGCTAGATCTGGCGTGGAGGGGAATTACCCAGTTACCTAACGACCTCCCCTGCACATGTGCAGACGTACACTCACACTCACACATGTTCATGAGGTGGGGCAGGCTCCAGGCTGCTGGCCTTGGCCCTGGCTCATCCCTGCAGAGGTGAGCCCCAAGTCAGCGCCTGTGTGGAGACGTTTGATCAGGCCCACTGTTGCTGCCCCAGTCTGAACAAGCCGGAGCAGGCCAGGCCCACCAGCTGGTGAGCTCCTGGGCAAGTCCTCGGACAGTTCTGGTCCGGAGCTCGTTCCCACCAAGGCTCAGACTTCCCAGGTTCCTCCCAGGCAGGCGACTCCCCAACGGGCTTACGCAGAGCCTTGGGCCACGTTGCTCTTTATTGTACGTTTCCCCATTGGATCAAGCTTCTGCCCAGCGTCTGCTCTCTATCAGCCTGGAGCCCGGGAGACCCTCACTGAGATCCCCCGGCCCCTGAGCTCTCACAGGGGGTGTTTGTTTCTTGCCCTAGCAGAGAAAAGACAAGATACAAAGTTTAGGTACCAGCAGTAAGTATAATAGCTATGTCGCTGGATTCCCATGTAGTCAACTGAAGTTCCAGTCCCGGACCTGGTGACTTAAACTCACACCGGGGTCATGTGCGTGCCCAATATCCCTAGAGGAAAATGGAGGAAAAGGGATTGCGGCATGGCCATCCCCCCTGGGGGGTGATTTCTTGCTTTCTCTCTCTCTCTGTCTTTCTGGCAAGCGCACATGCCCTATAGCAAAAACCTCTTAAAAAAAAAAAGATACGGAGTTTAGCAAGAAATACAGTGGAAAACCCCTGGAATAAGAGTTTCTGTGTGCTGAGTCCACATGACTAAGAAAGCTGACTCTGAAGCTGCTGAAGTCAGGCGAGGGCTGGGAGACACAAGTTCAAGTCCCAGTTCCACCCTTTCCCCACCAAGCAACAGTTGGAAGTGCCCTCCTCCCTGAGCCTCCAGCTCTCTTGGATGGTGCCCGTGTGGGAACCATGGCTGCCACACATTTTCACTGTAACCCACAGTAAGAGATTCAGGTTAGTGCTGGATGGTGGCATGGTGTAAAACACTCTGTGAGGGGGCCAGCAGGTGGCATGGTAGTTAAGGCACTGGACTTCCACATGGTCATCGCAGTTTGAGTCCTGGACCTGGCAGTTTGAAACTCAACACCAGACGTGTGTGCGTGCATGCCCAAAATCCCAGGAAGAGAATGGAGGAGAAGGGATTGCTGCATGGCCATCCCCCTGGAAGCTGATTTCTCACTTTCTGTCTCTTTGGCAAGCACATGTGCCTTGTAGCAAAAATCTCTCTTAGAAAAAAAAAAGAAAAAACAAAGAAAAAAAGAAGATCACGCCAGGCGTATGTGCATTCATGCCCAAAAGCCCAGGAGGAGAATGGAAGATTAGGAATTGCTGTGCAGCCTCTTCCCCCTCCCAGGGGTGATTTCTCACTTTCCCTCACTGTCTTTCTCTGGCAATCACATGCACCTTATGGCAAAAACCTTTAAAAAAAAATCCTCTGTGAGACCATTCATATGGGAAGGTCCCTGGTTCACATCCAGAGACCTCCCTGCGTGGGCTGGGTATACAGGTGCCCATGATCTGAGCTGGCTGAGGCTGGGCTGGAGCACAGCATCGCGGCCCTCTCACGGATGGGTGCGCTCTCTCACGCACGCTCTCTCTTTCTGTCTCTCTCACTCATGAAATAAAGAGGAAGACTTTGAAAAAAAATAGAAGAAGAAAAGGCATGCGCTTTCCGGGGGAACTCGGTACCCGTGCACTGTTGCACACGCAGTGCGTATGTTGCCTGCTGCCTGCGTGCACGCTGAGATGTCCTGTCCCAGGGTCCGTTATTTCACTCTGCTTTCTAAATGGTGGTCGCAGTCCACTAAACAGCTCTCAGAATCCGTAAGGGGCCTGATAACAAGCAGGTGATGGCCAGGGCTCCTCCCACGCCAAACTTCCCGGGACACTGTGAGCGTTATGAGGCAGCGAGGGCTGTGTCCGGCAGGACCAGGAGTCCCAGGCAGGGATATTGACTGCGCCTTTCTCCCTTTCTCGGCCAGATCTACAACGGGACCCTGAAGCGGGAGCCTGACAACAGGCGCTTCAGCTCCTACAGCCAGATGGAGAGCTGGGGCCGGCACTACCCCCGGGGTGGCTGTCACACCACCGGAGCAGGCAGCGACATCTGCTTTATGCAGAAAATCAAGGCGAGCCGCAGTGAGCCTGACCTCTACTGTGACCCGCGGGGCACCCTGCGCAAGGGCACGCTGTGCAAGGGCCACAAGACCACCCAGAACCGCTCCAGCTTCTACAGCACCTGCAGCGGCCAGAAGGTGACCAAGAAGTGCCCCGTGCGCCCGCCCTCCTGCACCTCCAAGCAGGACCCGGTGTATGTCCCGCCCATCTCCTGCAACAAGGACCTGTCCTTTGGCCACTCGAGGGCCAGCTCCAAGTGAGTGCTGCTCTCCTGGGACGAAGTGGGCAGGGCTGGGCCAGGCAGGGCTGGGTGGGAGGCAAACCAGTACGATGGAGCTCTCGGCAAGGGCTCCCAGGATGGCAGGAGCTCACCGTTCCTGCCTTGGGGAGTCCTTGGCCTAAAGGGTCCCTGACCTCAGGGAGTTATCGGTGTGAAGGGGAGACAAGGGCCAGGTGTTGAGTGCGTCGGACTTGAAGGTTATGAACAGAGGGAGATTAATCCGAGAAGCCAGCTAGGCCAGGGGTTCTCTGAGCGTGTTCCTCCAGCCAGCTGGATCAGCGTCACCTGGGAACTGGATGGAAATGCTCACTCTCGGGCCCCACCCAGACCTCCTGACTCAGAACAGCTGGGAGAGGGGCCCAGCAACATGTTTGCACGATCCTTCCGGTGATTGTGACTCACACTAGCCTGAGAACCTCGGATCTTGGGCATGGATACCTCTGCCCACGTTCTGAAAGAGCAAACGCATGTGTCCTGGTGAGACGCTGGGCACAGAATGGGCTATAGGTCACGGCAGACGGGCAACCTGAAGGACACACAGACAGGGATGTGAGCTAGCACCCAGGAACAGCACACAGATACTGGGCAGCAATGTCCAAGACCCATCGCCAAATGAGGTGGCCCCTGACGAGCCGCAGGCACAGGGTGCCTTGGGTCCGCAGTGTCAAGCCTTCCAACTGTCCTTTATCACCACCTAATGATCATCATTATTGGTTTATTTGGCCACGATTTACTGAGCATCCTGTGGTGTGCAGGGCGCACAGCCGTGATCAGGACGGCCCAGGGCTGCCATGGAGCCACGTAAGTTCTTTCCATGGGGTCCCAGGAGCTTCCCATCCCTCATCTTTAGTCCTCATAACCCCTTCCAGGCAAGCCCTAGTGCTCCTGAGGAGGAAACAAGGCTGGCCCAGAGGTGTTAAGTAACTTGCCCAAGCCCACAGCTGACTTCACATCCTCTGCTCTTCCCTACTGGTTCCACACTTCTCTGAAATAAGCAGAACCCCATTATCAAGCTTGCCCTTTCTTAGCTACTTGAAGGCGCAAGGTATATTTAGGGTCACTTGGAGGACTCGGAAACCTTTCTTTCTTGGGGCTAATCAGGGTAGGGTAGCATCTGGCCCTGGCTCATCATCCCAGCCAGCTGTTCTGAGTGAGGGTCTAGGTGAGGTATGGGGAGAATGAGTGACAAGCCATTCATAGGTGACATGCTAGCTGGCCGAGGCAGAGTGACATTCTCTCAAGGCAGGGCAGGAGTTCTACTCACCCAGTGCCAGAAGCTCTGCCTCTTGGATGATTTCTGCAGTCATGTTGCCATAGCTAAAACCACGAATATCCACTGAGCACCGACTATGGCAAAACAGGAGCTTTGAGGTTAGGTCATTCGAGTCTAGGACAAATGAGGAGAGGGCTCCCTCTGCCAGTCAAGTCTAACTAGTGGGGAGTGCTGGAGGCCACAGTGGGGTCTGCCTCGGGGGACTCTCTATCTCTTGGGATCCAGGACAGTAGAAAGGCAGCCTGTGATCAACACTATGGGCACTGGAGGAGTTCCAAGTGGAAGGTTTTCCCTCCCCAGCTTTCCAGAAGATGGACTTCAGCAGGGCCTGGGGCGTGCCTGACAGCATACCTGAGACCTGGTCAGGGCCCAGCGAACAGGGCAGTCCTGCTCGAGCAGACCCTTGTTAGGAGCTGGGGAATGGTCCAGAGGACACAGTGGGACAGACTATTAAGCTAAAACATAGGCAGTTTCTGGTTTGGGGGCTTAAAAGTGGTTGACTATGAGTCAATTCCTATGGCCCAGCCTAGCACATGCCTGCGAGGTCAGTCTAAGTGGTTAGAATGAGAATCCACAGTGAGGAGACGTCGCGATGGTTTCTGAGGTGGAGTTCAACACAGTGCATGAGGGTTTAGTGCCACTTATGTGGTACAAGTATGTAAAAGGTTTGGGAGAACTTAGAGAAGAGGGACCTTTCTAGAGGGCTTTTGCTGCCATCCCTATGAAAGCAACTATGACCAGTAGGAAAATGATAGCTATGAAGGTGGGAGGAAGAGATAGATGTGAAAATTTTCAGGTGAGAAGAGCCAGCTGACTTTGGGGAAGGATGGATAGATGGATGGGTCAGATGATGAGTGAATTAATAGGTGGGTGGATATATAAATAGATGGATGGATGGATAAGTGGGTAGATGATGGATGGGTGGGTGAATGGAGGGGTGGATAGATAGGTGTGGGGGGGTGGATGTATTAATAGGTGGGTGGGTGGATGGGTGTATGGATAGGTGGGAGAGTGGAAGGATGGATAGATGAAAGAATAGGTGGATGGGTGGGTGGGTGGACAGATGGGTGGATGGGTGGATGAAGAGGTGGGTGGATGGATAGGTGGGGGGTAGATGGATGGATAGGTGGATGGGTGGGTGGGTGGATAGGTGGTGGATAGATGGATGGATAGGTGGATGGGTGGGTGAGTGGATAGATGGGTGGATAGGTGGATGAAGAGGTGGGTGGATGGATAGATAGTGGAGAGATGGATGGATAGGTGGATGGGTGGCTGGGTGGATAGATGGATGGATAGGTGGATGGGTAGGTGGGTGGGTAGATGGGTGGATGGATGGATGAATAGGTGGGTGGATGGATGGGTAGGCGGGTGAATGGGCAGGTGGATGGATGAACAGAGAGATAAGACTTGCAGTCGTTTTCTTCCATTTTCCCAAAGCAGGTACCAATGAGGTGGCAGGGTGGGTGTAGGGCTTCCCAGCAGGAAACAGGACACTTTTTTGTCCCTGTCAGGGCCTCAGCAGAGCCAGTGTAGGGAGACCTAGAGGCTAAGCCTCTCTACTTTGGAGGAGAGGAGCTACTTCCAGAAGCCCTGGGGCTGGTCTGCATTGGCTCTCCAGAGGACAGCTGAAGCTATGGCAGCCTAGGTGTGCAACAAGGAATTCTGAGTCCCCACACCCACTCCTGTCGCCATCCCTCCCAGGATCTGCAGTGAGGACATTGAGTGCAGCGGGCTGACCATCCCCAAGGCTGTGCAGTACCTGAGCTCCCAGGATGAGAAGTACCAGGCCATTGGGGCCTATTACATCCAGCACACCTGCTTCCAGGATGAATCTGCCAAGCAGCAGGTAACTGGCTGCACACCTTCCTGCCTGGTTGGCCTACACAGGGCTAGGGTGTCAGCCTGACCCTGCCCAGCTGCCTACGTGCGGGTGGGAGCACTTGCAGATGGTTCTTACCCTGCCCAGCTGCCAGGGCTGAGACATCTGCCTGGCATTGCCCAGAGTCAGAGCTGGGCATCCTAACCTTCTACAGAGGGTGGGTGAATGAACCCCCTACTTATCCATCCATCCCCTCCCCAACACACACCTACCTATCCATCCCTCCATTCACTCACCCATCCAGCAAAGCCCTCTGTTTGCATGGACATCAGGCAGGTCATGTACTCCAGGGGTCATAGACAAGACACTTTAGTGACAGCTGTGGGCTCAACAGAGATCCCCTTCCTCAAAGGCCACTAAAGAACATGGCTGCTCCCTCCCTCCTGAGCCCCCATCTCCCTGCCTCTGCCTTTCTCTCTTCTGGTAGAAAATGGCTTGTCCGTGCCTCCCACACCTGGCTGGCAGGCAGGACACCTGTGCCTCTGCCATCAGCCCAAGAGTGCAGTGTTATTAACAGGTTCCTGGAGAGCAGGATTTGTTTGCATCGAAGTTTCTACCATAGATTTTCCATTGCAACATCTCCCATATGTTTACTTTAGGATTTTGAAGTATATTTAGATTCTTTTTCTTATCTGGCACTCATCACCATACTCTAGCAGGAGAAAAATGGGGCTCAGGAGAGAGGAGCAGCTTGCAGGGACCTCCCCGCTGGGATGAGGGGAGCTAGGGTCCGAATGCAAGTCGCAAGTCAGTGGTAGCGACCACTCCCTCACACTGCTCATTTGTGCTGGGTGACTTGGGTGTTTCTAACTCAATGTCGATTGTTTGGTCCCAGAAAAGTCTGCTTTGAGTCGATAATTATTAACTCACCTCCCCTCCTCTGACTGGACAACGCCCACCCCTCGCCCACAGGTCTATCAGCTAGGAGGCATCTGCAAACTGGTGGACCTCCTCCGCAGCCCCAACCAGAACGTGCAGCAGGCCGCCGCGGGCGCCCTGCGCAACCTGGTGTTCAGGAGCACCACCAACAAGCTGGAGACCCGGAGGCAGAATGGAATCCGTGAGGCTGTCAACCTCCTCAGGAGAACCGGGAACACTGAGATCCAGAAACAGCTGACGGGTGGGCCCCCCCCAGCCACTCTGTGGGGACATGGGGGAGCTGTGCAAGGCTGCTGGGGCACCAGGGCTGGGCCTGGGCTCAGCTGTGCAGGTTTGGCCAGAGCCAGTATCTTGGGAGCCCAGTGGCACTGGTCTCAGCCAGGTGTTGTCCCGAGGGTGGCCCTGGGCAGTGAGCATAGCAGATGGGGTCGTGGTCCCTCTGAGGTTGGAGGGCAAGGGGAGAAAGGCTGGTGTCCAGGCCAGATCCGTGTTCAGCAGGCCCTGGGATTTTCCAGTGTCTGAGAGAGCAAAGGCGGTGGCGGCAGAGTTCACAGGTCTCAAGTCCCTGTCCTGTGCTCAGAAAGAATGCTGAGTGCTGGAGGAGGTGGCGCCAGAGCTGGAAGTCACCATGAAGGCCTTGGATGGGTCTGGGACGAAGAGGCCAGGCACAGAGCAGAAAATTGATGACTATTTCTTTTGTTTCATTTCTTTCTTTTTTAAGTTTTTTTCTTTGTTTTGCTACGGTTTTTTGGTTTGGTTTGGTTTGGTTTGGTTTTTGCCATAAGGTGCATGTGCTCACCAGAGATAGTGAGACAGTGAAAGGGAAAGGAAGAAATCATCCCCAGGGGAATGGCCACGCCACAATCTCTTCTCCTTTCTCCCGTCAGGCTCCTAGGCACTCACACACAAGTGCCTGGCGTGACTTTCAACTTGACAGGTCCAGGACTCAGACCGTGGTCAGCCACATGAGAGTCCAGTCTCTCAACCGCCACACACCTGCTAGCCCCAGTGACTGTTTCTATTAAATAGAATGACTTTCAGCTGGAAAATAGAGATCATTGGAAGATCCCAAATGGTAAAATTTACCTTAAAGACAACTGATCTTGGCCAGCTTCATAGCCCGGTGGTTGAGGCAGCTGGATCCCACATGACTGACCCCATGGTTCAAGCCCCAGACCCAGCAGGTTGAGAAACACACCAGGCATGTGTGTATGTATGCCCAAAACGCACACAGGAAGGAGAAGTGCAGAAGAAGGGATTGCAGCATAACCATCCCCTCTGGGGAGCGCTCTCTCTCTTTTCCTCTGTCTCTCTGGTGGCCACATGCATTCTCTGGCAAACTTTAAAAAAAAAAAAAAAAAAAAAAAAAAACACTGATCAGTCAGATGCTTTTCCATCGCCCTTCCTGTCCGTGATTCTGGCCTTGGTAGAGAGCTCTGAGATGCTGTCTGTCTTCAAAGAACCTGCAGTCTAGCTGGGACATTGAGACCTGGGTTCATGGAATAGTTGAATAGGCTTGGTGACCCAGGCCTACTGAAAGCTGGTGTTTTAAGAGGGCCCATTTGCAGGGCCTGGGCTGGGGGTGGTACTGTGGTCCCCGGGCTTCCTGGCCTCGCCTGTGTCGGGCTGACAGCCTCTGACTCCCAGGGCTGCTCTGGAACCTGTCTTCCACTGATGAGCTGAAGGAGGAGCTCATCGCCGACGCCCTGCCTGTACTGACTGACCGTGTCATCATCCCCTTCTCTGGCTGGCGCGATGGCAACAGCAACATGTCCCGGGAAGTGGTGGACCCTGAGGTCTTCTTCAATGCCACCGGTTGCTTGAGGTGAGAGGAGAAGGCACGTAGGGCCCTTTCTCAGGCAGCCCCAGCGTAGCCGACATTCAGCCAGGGCAGCAGAGAACCTATGTACAGGCTGGCAGTGGCCCACATGGACAGGCTCCAAGGCATGGACCTAGGCATTCCCAGCTGCCTGGATCTGGACCGGGCTCAGGACCCACCCTCCTTGGAGGGAGCACAACAGGCACTTCTCAGACTCTAGGGAAATGCCCCATCTGAATATCCAAATTGGTTCAGGCATTTCCCCCTCCTCCACCCCCACCCCCCAAAACTGCATCTAAGAGTATTCTTTAGACAAAAGTCTACTGATTGGCTGTGCTAATGAGTCACTTCCTGCTCCGTTTCCATATGCATTGGCACAAGTGCCTTAAGTTTCCCGAGTTCCACTTCAGGGTGTGGCAAGGCCCCTGTGGGCTTGTTCTGGGAGCAGAGGTTTACAAGCTGGCAGGGTTGAGGGGTGCTGGGAGCCATGGAGCAAGATCCCTTTTAGGGTCATACCTTGCCCTAATGAGGTTTGTCTTCTCTGACTCCCAAGACCCCCCCCTCCAGAGTGGGGGTGCAGCTGGCATGTGTTTCTGCGTCTCAACTTGTGCTTCTCCCTGCTGGCCTCCAAAGTCAGCCTCCAGGGAGCAGAGGCTGGGGAGATGAAAGCCGGCATAATTAAGGACTGGATGGCTGCGCGGCGAGGGGGGAGATACCTTGCCCTAATGAGGTTTGTCTTCTCTGACTCCCAAGACCCCCCCCTCCAGAGTGGGGGTGCAGCTGGCATGTGTTTCTGCGTCTCAACTTGTGCTTCTCCCTGCTGGCCTCCAAAGTCAGCCTCCAGGGAGCAGAGGCTGGGGAGATGAAAGCCGGCATAATTAAGGACTGGATGGCTGCGCGGCGAGGGGGGAGCAGCCGCAGCCCCACCCCACCTGGCCAGGCAGCCGGCCCAGCGCTCGGAAATGAGCCACAGCTGGGGCAGAGCACAGCTGCACAGGGAGGGTGCGTCTAGTCCCAGCCCAGACAGCCTCAGTACCATTCCCGACCCAGTACCTTCAGAGCCTCTTCCCGCCCAAGCAGACTGCGGCAGTGGCTTTAGCTCCTGTTGGACACGTGGCCACCGTGCATGAGCCTTGGGCTGCCAGCTGCAGTGAGGCCATTGACAGTAATGAAAGTTCCTGGCCTGAGGACCGCACAGGCATAGAAAGGGCGAGAACTGAGTTGAGACAAGTCCCTGTGTCAGCCTTGGCCAGGGCCCAGCAAACTTGGCTAAATGAGCTTTCTTTCCTTCCTTTTTCTTCCTTTTCCCCATTCATTCCTTTCTTCTCTTTCCTACTCTCCTTCCTTCCTCCTCCCATGGCCTCCCCTGTACTCCACCCTCTGCTGCTCTTCTCTGCCCCTGTATGCCCCCCACACTCCCTCTTCTCCCCACCCTCTCTGTTCTCTCCCGCCTTTCCCATTTCCTCCGTGTTCTCTCCTGCAGGAACCTGAGCTCGGCCGATGCAGGCCGCCAGACCATGCGTAACTACTCGGGGCTCATTGACTCCCTCATGGCCTATGTCCAGAACTGTGTGGCGGCCAGCCGCTGCGATGACAAGGTGAGACTACAGCCCTGGTGGCTCTCTGGGTCCCTGCTTCAGCTTCTGTCCCCTCTGTTCAGACCTCCTAAGCCCAACCTCACCTCAAATCCTTGCACTCCCTGTCCTGGCTCTTATCTCTCCCGGACCCTGCAAGTCTGGGGCACAGAGCTGGGCAGTGAAGGGGCCATCTGGTGCAGGGCATGGCTTGGGGACAGCACACCCGTGCACATCCTTTGCCCTCGCTGAGGGGCCGAGTGGGTGCAGCCGCTCCCTGATTGCTGCATCCCTCAGCTCACAGTCCACCCTGAGGCGGTTCTATGAGCACGTCTGCCTTGTGGGCCATTGAAGGACCTGGGTGGTTCATGAGCAAAGCACGAGGAGAATGGCCGGCATGGAGGGCTGCAGCAGGCATTCAGGCTGCGCTGCCCCTGTGGTGCTCGGCCCGCCCAGCAGCCTGGAGCCAGCACGCTGAGGCTCCGAGACCAGGGCGTCCTCCCTGAGGCCACACTCTT